TAGTATTTTTGATCTTGTTAAAAAAGGGAGAGGTAAAATACGGTATTTTCTCTTAAATTTACATGTGGCTTTAAAGCCTTCTTACTCTCTTAGCTATACAAAGTAATAAAACATTTTTATATCAGTACCTATGGTATTAATATTAATTTCACTATCCAGTTGGTGTTCAGCAATGCAGTTAAGTATCATTATCTCTCTCTCTTATATATATATATATATATATATATATATATATATATATATATATATATATATATATATCCTATCTATCTATCTATCTCTTTCTCTTTCTTTCTCTCTCTCTCTCTCTCTCTCTCTCTCTCTCTCTCTCTCTCTCTCTCTCTCTCTCTCTCTCTCTCTCATTCTCTCTCTCTCACACTACTTTTCTTTCTACCTCTATATTACCTTATCTAAAAAAGACAATTCTAGCCAAGAGGGAAATTCATCTTAGATAGAATTACCAATGCTTCCGTTACAATCACAATATAACCATCTAATTATCGATATCACTCATGCCCTACCGATGCCCATGAAAGTTTGAAATATCGGTTTTCTTTCATCTTAATCATATAAATATATACAGATTTATCAAGAATAACGGTGTATAACTGACGAAATTATGAGTACATAAAATTATTGATGATATATACATGCATACCAGTAGGGAAATGCACATGGAGGCAGACGCGTGCTTTCATGAACACACACGCACATATATTTAAAAATTGGTGTGTGTGAGTGTGTATGTGTGTGCGTTCGTGTATGCATATGATCGATCAGACATTCATGAACTACTATTTCTTTTTTTTTTCAATTTTTCGCATAAACAGCCTTTTGTAAAAATAAACAGACATAAAAATTCACGTGAAACATTTGATATTGTACATTCAGTGTAAACCAGTGTTATACTCGACGATTTGTCTCCACAGTTTAGGAGATCGTCTAGAAAAAGTGTCAATGTGCAAAGCCATTAGCGAAGAGCCTTGGACAAAGCCCCGAGGAAGTCTGCTGGTGGTCCGTATGAACATTTTCCTGCTGAGGTCTGTGTAGGTGATATTCATGCCGTGCGTCAGAACGCCCGTGAAATAGGCATCTTCAATGACGAGAGGGTGGGTCTTGTTCGCCCGTTCGTAGATCTTCATCGCAATGTCCGTGCGGATCATGTACGCGGATCCGTGGCAATAGGGAGGGTAGTATTCATTCGCGTAATCCGCCTCTGAGACCCACCACTTCTCCAGGCAGTCCATGCCCTTGCGACACACGGGGCAGTGTCTGCACACGCTGCATACGAAGTCCGACGAGGTCTGCCGCAGGTACTTTGCCACGGCGAAGGAATTCACGAAGACGTCCGTGTCGCTCTTGAAGACCCACTTGGCGTTCGGACAGAAGGTCTTGGTCCAGTGAAGCATGGCGAGGGTCTTGAGCGTCAGGTTCTCGTAGGAGTCGAAGAAGTCGAGCTGGATGATGTCGTGGAAGGCGTCGCTCTCTCGCCGCAGTATCCTCTGGGTTTGCTCCGACTCCGCGCTCGCCATCAGGTACATCGTCTTCATGCGGGTGTAAGGGAAGAACGTCGCGTTGCCCCACTTGTTGCTGCGGAGAAGACGGGTCATTATTTATGTATGAACCCGGATACAGTAAACGTGTACCAATAAACCGTATAATCCAATATAAACCAATGAACGTAACCATAAATAAGATTAAATAAATAATACCAATATAATCATATATATGATTGATAGTGGTATTGATTATACTTGTAAATTTCTGTTTATAATAAGTGTATAGGTTGTACTATTATAAGGTAGGAATTATATACATGAAATAAGTTGTAAGTGCATGTTACTATATTTTATATATATGGTATAAAGTTAATTATAACTTTATGTATGTTTGGTGTGTTATGTTTTATATTTATGGATGTGAATTTGGGTTAGGTATAAGTGTGGTGTATATATATAATGTTATAAATATGGTAGATATGTTGTTTGTTATGTTTCTTAAAATATATATACTGGAATTAATGAGATGTGTATATGATTGGTTTTGTTTTGGGTGATTGGTTTGTATTTATATGTCATAATTATAATACACTTATTTAATATCTTGATAAATTTCTGGTGTTGTGTTGTATGAGTGTTATAATAGATATTTATGAATTATAAGAATAGATTATGTTTGATATATAGGTGGATAGTGAATGAGTTATTTAATGTGTATATGTTTTTTGGGTTTTGTGTTTATCTCTCTCTCTCTCTCTCTCTCTCCTTCTCTCTCTTCACCTCTCAAATCTCTCCCTCTCTTCATCTCTCTCCTCTATCTGCTCTCTCCTCTCCTCTCTCATCTCTCTCTCATGACAGCAATTCCCTCCCGAGGACCGAGAGACATGTATCTTACACAAGAAAGAGTAGAGCACAGAGGAGAATGAGGAAAGTGGAAGGAAGGGATAGAACTGAGGTGGAGAGAGGGGGTGGGGAGGGAGGGTGGGGGGGGGGAATGAGAG